TGTATAATGTAGATGTTTGTTGTATACAATTATAAGAAATGTTTCTTGAGCAGTGAATCAGAATGATTTCTAAAGGATCCTGTGACATTAAAGACTGGAGTAATGACTGCTGAAATTGCTTTTTAAATTGTAAAAAATATTTGTTTTTACTGTATTTTTTATCAAGTAAACGCAGCCTCATAGAGTAAAACAGACTTATTAAAAAAAACAAAAACATTTATAATCTTAATTATTCCAAACTTTTTTCAACAAATATGAATAAATACTGTAACAAATATATTGCTCATTTTTAGTTAATGCATTAACTAATGTTAACTAATAAGACCTTATTGTAGAGTGTTAGCAATGAATTAATATAATTTACATATGAAGTATTCATATTCATTTAATTATGTATATACACCTCTCTCTCTCTCTCTCTCTCTCTCTCCGAAAATGTTACATGTAGTGCTTCAGTAGTGCGTTCCTGCTACAAATCTCCAGCAGTTTAGTATTACACTTTTCCTATGGTGTTTTTCAGTGCTATTCCTTTAGCTGTATTTTCTTTTGTTTAACAACAACAGGTATGACAAGCCATGTGCCATCTTATCACACCATTCTACTGTATCGCCTAAAGTGCTAGTTCTGTACTTTAGGATTTTGCTGGAGTATCAGCACTGGCCCAGTGCATCCCTTTAATGTGTGAGACAAGGTGAGAGTCCAGCTGGGGAAATTACAGAGCCAGCTGCTGATTGAACCACTGATGGAGACCATTTGAGCCTCAGCGCTGCAGCAGGAAATTGAATTACCCTCACAATCTGTTTGTGCTGTATGTGCATCCCTCTGTTGTTCAGTTACCTCTGCCATGTGTGTGTGTGTGTATATGTTTGTGGAGACTGTTTTCGATTACCTCGCTGTATGTGTGAAATCCTCCTGATCTGCTCTACGGTTGCACGCGCCCAGATTTAACCATGTCACACCTACAGGATATTACCTCTTTTATGGTGTGTCACATGATTGTGAGAGGCTGCGCCCACAAACTGGGAAAGGTTTGAGATATGAGATGATGCCTGAAGGCTCCAGACCTACTAAGCCTGGTTATTAGATTGAAAGTGATATTATTTGGTTACTTTGGACCCCAGTTCAGATGATGGTTTGCACTTCCATCCTCACATTATCCATACTAAAGCTAGATCCTCAAGACCAAACTCCATTTTTACTCCACAGCATAGATAGCATAAAGCCTACCCTGATGAAAAGACCAGCATGAATTTTCTTGCAGTTCGCCAGGAATACTTGTGCTGGTTAGGCTAGTTAAGAAGTCTGATGGGGACACCAGCACACATGGATCTAAGGCAATGTCTAAATTAATCCAGATACGTTTGAAAACAGTGTTTTCATTTCAAAACACACTCTGTCCACACTAGTGTTTTCAAACATTTCCTAAAATGATGGAAAACATAAGAATAATTCTTAATGTGGTTTGAAAGTGACTTCTGTGTGAGATGTGCTGCATATATTACTTTTAACAATAGACAATTTACCTTTTTTGTCCACAAAACTTACCTAATGTGACCATCCCTTTAGGGTTGCCACGGCGGCCGCTATTTCTGGCATTAGCATAAAATATCTTCTTCTATGGATGTTTTTTTCTTTCAGGTCAACTACTTACAGAGCAACAGTTTGAAGAGAATCTTGCTTCGCAAATTAGCTTAATTTGACGTGTTTACATTTATAGCTACCTGAATAATAATACTGTTTAAGGTTATGGTTACAATAATAATCTACTGTAGTTGCAAAGACATTTGAAGGGAACTCTACTGCCTCCTTGAGTACTGAAGGTTATTACACTTAAAAATAAAGGTGCTTCAAAAGGTTCTTCAAGCGATGCCATAGAAGAACCATTTTTGGTTCCACAAAGAACCATTCAGTCAAAGGTTCTTTAAAGAACCATCTCTTTCTTACCTTTTTATAATCTGAAGAACCTTCTTTCGCCACAAAGAACCTTTTGTTAAACAGAAAGGTTCTTCAGATGTTAAAGGTTCTTTATGGAACCATTTAGACAAAAAGGTTCTTCTATGGCATCGTGAAGCACCTTTATTTTTAAGAGTGTACCACTGACACGAGCACACGTTTAGTATGGCATTTTTGTGTAAAGAATATTACTGGCTTAATCCTGTTGCACATAAATAATTAGTAATAGACAAAAGCAATTTACTAAAGCAAACATGCTGTGTTTTTCCACTCTGACTTTGGCATGTATCCAGTTAGCATTTTTTTGTGGCTGAATATGGCAAAATACCTTATCCAAATTGGAATAAACAGGATGCAAACATGTGCTGATGTGGGAGATGCGGGTTTAAATCCAGCCCATTTGGCTCTTTTCTCCCCAATCTCCTATCAATACAATGACAATAAACATTAAAACTATATATGTGTATTCCAGCTCTGGTGAAGCTCATATAATGCAAACAGTTCAGAATGATGTTTATTTTCGCAATCACTGCTTCTTATACCATAAACCCTCAGCAGTGCACTTCTGCTTATTTAAGCAATCAAGAACGTTTACCTCATTGTTATTCTGTACGCAACCCATTAGTAATAATTAATCAAACCAAACAAATGGCAGAAAACAATAAAGTCCATTGTTGTTTTTTCATAATCAGACAGCTAATTAATTTGTATGAAGCCAACTTTCTGGCTTTCTCTCCAGTAGGGAGAAAGACATGGAGGAACATGGAAATTTCTACTTCTCACTACGCTCACTCCAATTAATACAGAAATCCATGTGGAACGGAATATTGTTTGTTGCCATTTGCGCAATGAATTATTCATGGTTTTGTTGTGGGAGTGTTTTGTTGGTAGATACATTTCTTTGCATCATCTTCTTTCTCATTCTGTCTCCCTCTGTTTGGTTTAACAAGACCCAGCAGAATTGTGAATTACTTCTGCACTTAAAATGAAACTTTAGTACATTTGCTTGTTCATTAGTGCAATTTTAATTATATTGGCTGGGTATTGTTAAAAGAATGTGTTCAGTAATGTGTTGCAGAGGATCTTCTGAGACCTTGCGGTTCTATCACATTGCTACAAAACCCAAGAGGCAAGATGTAAAGAAGAACTTGCACGATTCTGCACGGTTCATAGGAAACATTCACAATGGCTGTAGTTTGGGTATTTCTTGCTGTGCGCAGGCAGTGACCGAAAACACTATTGAACAAGAAACAGAGTAATCTGTATTTTCAGAGAGAGAAATAAATTGCGATGACCTTTCCATTTCAAAGATGTATGAGAGAACGCATGTATAGTCATCTAGCTAGAGTGATTTAAATACATAACGGGAGCGCGTGACTCAAGGGAACAGACAGTGTATAGACAGAAAAGGCTGAATGGGTCCTTGTAATGCTGCAAATGTTTTATGAAATTATTTTCTTCAGGCAGATGCTGCTTAATTGAACCTAAACACGTGTCTGCATCTCAAATGAATCATCAGTGGAGGAGAGTTTCTTAGTTCATTATTCAAATGAAAGAAGTATTTATTTTTAAGATTTCTTTCAGGGTAGAAGCAAGTTCCTTGATGTTTTACAGTTGGCTAAGTTTGCCCTGTACGTGCTGGGAGTCTGAAATCGTAACAGTGATTGTTAGTCATCTCCTGGTGAGCGCTACAAGGTTTAGGCATGGGCGAGAGTTCAGACACAGCGTTAGAGTCTGCATCCTTGCCAAAATACCCAGATTGTGTGCCAATGAGTCTGCGTGAAGCCTTGGGGAGGAGAAAGGAACTGCCTGAATTCGCAGCAGCGGGGGATGAGATACTGAATAAATGAGAAATTGTTGTTCATGTAAAATAAAGGAACATTGTTTGGAAGACCTACAGCACTCTGGATTTTCTGTGTGTGTAAGTGTGATTTTTTTATTTTTCCCCCATGCAGAAGTTTTGAAACATGGATTTCATACTCGCAGATGAAGGAATGCATGAACGTGGAGACAAAACTGTAGTTCAACCAGAAGAAGATGCAGTCAGTTGAGCTGGCTAGTTGAAAATTGAATTCGCCTTTCCTCATTTTGCATAGAGAGTGAATTGGAACTCCTGAAATGTGAAACAAAAAATAAAGGGATAAACCTTGGAAGAGTTGAAGGTTTGAACGTTCAAGAGCAGGGTTATTCTCAGTTGTTAGCATTATACCCTAAATTATAATGGCACACGCAAGAGTGTTAATATTGGCTGTGATTTGGCATTAATACATTACTATTACTGGTAATAAACATTTTTGACAATGTTGCCAGTTACATTGTGTAGTTTGCATTTCTTACAGAAATGGTTACAAACAAAACCAAAGCAGTCAACTGTTGTGACTCCAAGCAACACATACTTAGTGGCGTTTTGTTCCTGAATGATTTTTTTTTTCTTTTCTTTTAAAAATAATGGAATGATTATTTGATTCATACAGAGATTCACTTGTTTTCTTCCTGAATGAATCAGTGTTTTTGAATGAATTAATTGAAAGAACATTTGAAATGTCTCACTCATATGGGAAGTGACTTGATTTGTTGCTCAATTAATCAGTTTATTTGAACAAATTGGTTGAATGAATGATTCAGAAGATTCATTTATTATTGAATCAGTGTGTTTTAAAGAATGGGTTAAATGAAAGATTGGACGACTCACTGTGGTTTTTTTGTTGTTGTTGTTTTTACAATCAAACAAATCTGTTTTTGAATGAATTGGCTGAATTAACAATTCAATGACTTGCTTATATTTCAGTCAATTGAATGAAATAGTGTCTTTGAATATGACTGTTGAATGATTCGAATGACTCAATTACCCAGCTACAGTAGCAAAATTGTTGTTAATCTAACCTGTCTCTGCTCTCATTGTGTCTTAATATGTTATATTAAACCCAATGTATGCATATTGTCAAAGTTTGTTGTACTGCATCCTTTTGATTTTTTGCTAATATCTGAGTTGTGTATAAAAGTTGTTCTCATTTTCTAACCATCTCTCTGTTTTCTCTCACTTGTAGATACCCTGCTGTCATCTGGCCATGGTGAGTACTTGAGAAATATGTTCCCGGATACAGCTCTGCATGACTCTGAATATGCCAGATCTCAAATGTGATTATTATTTTTCAATGTTGGTCCGCAAGCACGCGTGACTCCATCCGAATGGAGCATCGCTGCGGCAGCAGATGTACATCTTATTTTCTGAAATGCATACTTTCGGGTCTGTTGGCTGACACAGAGAACCCAATCTTTGTTAGTGATTACTGAAGACTCACCTCTGCTCCCTCGGTTCTGTTCTGAGTTTCAGAGCTGGCACATTTTCCCAGCATGCTCGTTCAGTCATTCTCGACTCACTTCGGTCAATCACCCCTTGCGGTTCTATTGTTCGGTTCACACGCGTTCGGTCTGGCTGTTTGTCAAAGATGAGGCGCTTACTCTGGGAGTCGCTGTATAGACAGACCTCTTTTTTCATGTACATTTGACTCAGCGAGGGGCAATCTTTAAAGTGTGTTTTTGCTATTGAATTTATGCTGTTATATATTCTCAAATTGCCTCCCATTTTTAGCAAAATGGAGCGCAGGAAGTATCACGCATGTGCTGGATATAATGGACTGTGTGACCAGCATATAGTCCACCTGCAGAGCTGCTAGGGCCGCTAGAAAAATAACACCTGCGCTGACCATTTCTGCATCCATTTGGAGATGGAGAGCAAGAGCGAGATCAGAAAGGAGTGAAAAAAAGTCTTGCAGAGTCTGGGCTTAAAGGGCAGTCCTGTCCTAAACTTGAGCTGTATATGTTTTGCACTCAAAGCACACTTGCCCGCAATGCTTTGTGGAAACAAGACGTGGCACTGGGTCCGTTTTTTTCTGTTTACTCTGCACTTTGCACGAAAATAGGATATGTGCAGGCCAGCAGGGTCTGTATTTCCAGGCCAGCACATTTTACTTTTTTTGCCAGTGCTCTTTTGTCAGACAGTAAGCTGGTACAAATAGTGTGCTGCCCTTCAAGATTTCTGCAAATGCACCATAATGGATAATAATATGGCTAATGCAAGCGTTTTGAATAGCTTGAAAAGGATGAAAAAAAAAAAAACTCTCTGCAGACCAGAGAATTTCTTTATTTTAAAAAATGAATGCATTTTTCCTGTGTTTGTATGGTGTTAGTGTAAACAAAGCAAAGGGCCATATGGTTGAAGCAATGTAGAAAGATGTTGACGACATCATCCTGACAACAGTAACGGTGATGGTCACTGTTTAGACAGCAGGCATTACTCCTCCGGCTGCTTTACACAAATGTGTTCGCACAAACACGTGCACATTTTCTTCTCCTGTCCAGAGCCATTGTGAGTGTGACTCAAATTGGTTAGACCTGGTTAGAAAGGTAGTGCATGTTTAATAGCACATATACTATACACTATGCATAAAAAGTGTAAAAGAGAGATGGAGGAATGAAGATGAAAGTGTGAATGAAGGAGAACTCTGTGTCCTTGGCCTTTGTGTGGGACTGGCTGCACTCTGTGGTTTTGATGACAGAAAGCTTTACAGCTACAGAAAACGACACATTTTTTTTTTTTTAGATCTGCTTTTTTCCCCCCGAACAGATTGCAGTTCGTCCTTTCATTGCCATTTCCCTTATATTTTGATGCCTTATCTGTGGTGGTTTGTTTGGGTCCGTTTTTTAAAACCCACTGACAGTGTTGCTAAGATAAGATATGGTGGCTAAAAGTCCCACCTATCAGTTAAATGATGCATTTTTTATTACTTACATTTTAATACAATATATAAAAATATAAGTGTGTTTAATGTTTTTTTATTTATAATATTGAGCAAAATATGGCCGCCCAATGACTTGCCTTGACTTTGCTATGTTTCACCTCCACTGCAAATTATTTCTGTCCATTTCTCTTCTTTTGTCTCTCTCTCATTCTCTCTACCCCCGCCCTCACTCTTTCACAGTTTAATTGGCGCTACCTGAGGTAGGCCGAGGTGTAATTGTTATAGTATAAAGTGCCTTGGTCGGCTGGTTTTAAAGCCTTTTATCTGTAATCTCCCGATTGATTATGCGTTTTTCTGCCAGCCGAGCAAATTGTTCAAACCCATCAGGTGCACGGCGGGGAAAAAAACAGCGAAAGAGGAGCTTCAGCTGTGCAACAGCCAAATCACAGAGCACATCGGCTAGAACATCAAATTTAGTGACAGACAACACAATGCTGCTTTTTAGTTTACACACACAGACAAATGAAACACAGATGTCTTCCTCGCTCCCCGTGTCGCTGAGGGTTAAAAATGGAAAAAAAGGGGAAGATTAAAAAGTGTGTAATTGGGGGTGGGGGGTATAATAAAAAGGAAGTGTTTTTTGTCTGTTGGCATGTCATTTATCAAAACATTATTTAGGCTGCAATGAATTGCAGTGAATGATTTCTACACCGTTATTGCAATTCTGCAGGCAGCTTCACAGTCCACCCAATTTGATCAATATCTTATTCAGCACGGGTGTATTTTTAATACAATACAGTAATGAACGCCGCCACCCAGGGGACTTGGCGTAGCCTCTTATTCTGCATATCCGTCTCAAATGAGCCCTCCTGTTAGCCTGTCATAATGTTAAAAAAATGCCATGGTAGGAAATGCATTAGTCTTGAGTATTAGATTTTAATACAGTGTTGAGGAGCAAATAAGAGGAACATAATAGCTGAGGTTAATGTGGGTGTGATCCAAAACCAGTTGACAGAAATGAAGATAGATAACTAGAAATATACTGTTCATACTTCGTATGCCAGGGAAAATCCCACCCATTCATTGTTTTTTTTTTCGCTCTCCTTCTGTTTCTCTCCCAGGAGAGCTATATCTGTCCTGCTAATAGGTTCACCATTGGAGTGGCTCTCTAGTAGTCATGCAGTGAGGTGAAACATCCAATTTGGCTGCCTCTGGTGGGAGCAGTGTCCAGACCCTTACCATTAAGTTGGCATTGTGGGATAGAGATCCTGGTTGTAGATTGGCAATGATATGACAGGTGTTGCCTTTGCAATTAGGACTGGTTTTAGTGTGTGTAAGTGTGTGTGAGTCAGATTTACCTACACTGCAAGGACAAAATGTACCCACAATGATGGTAAAACTTGAATTCACCTACAGTGCATTGTTGGGAGCAGACAATGGTTCCCTTGAGGATAACAGTGTAATGTTTCAAAGTTTTTTGGATTAAACTTTTTAATGTAGTTTTTTGAGGATTGTGTATTTTAAACACCTGATTTAGGTCGGGGTTTTTTTGTGGGTTTAATGAATGTGTAATTTATTTATTCTACCCGTCTTCCAAAATACTAAATTAATTCAGCTGGACACACTTTCCTTATTTTCTCCACAACAAATGGCCAAGCAAGCGCAGACACTGACAAGATACACGATACAGAATGAGACCAAACGCGATGTCAGCACGTCATTTTTGTAATAATTAATAACTAATTTGTGGCGTGCTTTCAAACATACACAGTAAAGACCAGTGTCAGTGCAAATGGATTAAATGGCACTGGATTTATAGCACAGGATTTATCAATCCTGAAAGTAATTTCTGAAACGGTGACTGTGTGAGCAAATTATTACGAGTTAATACAACAGGTATTAATGTGAGTGGTGTTGTGCACTATGCTGTTATTTTGACAGAACTGAGACTTTGAGAATGAATAGTGTGGCCAATACTGCTGTTTATTTTATTTTATTCATCTTTAAAAAGCTATAATAAAGAATACATAGTGTGGTCAACTTGGCTTTATTATTTTATTTTATTTTATTTTAGTATTTATTATTATTTATTATTTAATATTTTATAAAATTAAATAAATAATTAAAAAACTAATTTTGTGTGTCCAACCTACTTGCACAAGTGGTTATTTTTAGCAATTCGCACACAATATGTTCGATAGATTTCACAAGCAAATTAGCACTCTTTATTTGGGATCTTAGTAAATCGGCCAGCAAGTATAAAATTCTTAGTATAGCTCTTCAGTATCAGAGTTTATTTCAGTTAATTGTTTGACACTTTAAGTATTTAGGGAACTGCCTTTTTAACGATTTTAAAGAGTCACACATTACCTCATATTATTTGCCATCAGCTGTTGCCAGCCTCTGGAATGCAGAACTTGTGCTTTCTCAAATCGCCAGTATGTGTGTCAGTGGCGAGCGGTGACTTTTTTAACTGGGTATGCTGAGTGATAAGACCCCACAGAGGGTGGGGAGATGGGGGGGATTCCCCCGGTCTATATGTCTCTCTGCATCAGCTAAATGATTTTTTTTATTCCCAGTGAACAGGAGTTAAAACTCCCACCCGGGTGACACTACTCCAATGACAGACCATGCAAAATACCCAAAAATATAAAAAATATTGCAAAGTAACGTTGCAACCTTGCAAACAATAATAAAATCAGAGAAGGTCTTTAATTGTAAGCGACACGAGCATACGCAAAACAAAGGGAACAATATGATGTTTGTTATTATTAAAATTTTATATAGCCCACGTTTTTATAAAAAAATTTTTTAAATTTAACGCTAGGCAATAACGTACCTTCTAATAACGTAATATCTTCACCATACGTTGTCTATGACCAAAAAAGTTAGAAGATGTTTTCAGTGGATTTTAAAAATTTGCTTCAGAATCAGAATGAGCTTTATTGCCAGGTATGTTTACACATACGAGGAATTTGTTTTCGTGACAGAAGCTTCCACAGTGTAACAGAATGACAGGGACAGAACAAAAAAAACACAGATAATAAAAAATTTTAATAAATAAAAAATAGAACAAGTAAAATAAGGAATAAAAAATATACGCATTTGAGTTCCAATTATAAGCATCAGTCCTTTTGGCACCACAAGCTCCTTAAGGAAATAATCTCATATATATAAGCACAGGAGGCGCAGCAGATGGTGTGATAGAGGGTTACCACCAGTGAACTGTCACTTAGGAACCCGGATTTATAGTCTCTGATTCAACCCTGTACTTTAATTTAACTTTCATAGAAATGGAAGTTCTTCCTCTTCCTCTACACTAGGATGTT